CAGTCATTAAAAACAAGCCTGGTGGTACTGAGGACTGAACCCACAGACTTTGTACTAAGCTACATCCCTAACCCCCCCCCCCCCCCCGTAACTCCCATTGTTTTGAGACAGGGTCTTGGTGAATTTCTACATAGCCCAGGTTGGGCTCAAACTTGTGATTTTTCTCCCTCAGCTTCCCAAAGTGGGATTACAAGCTCGTACCACCACCTCACCTGGCAGCGGCTTCTTCTTCCTTCTTCCTTCTTCTTTCTTTCTTCTTTCTTCTTTTTTTAAATTTGAGGCAGGGTCTTGCTAGGTAGCCCAGGCCGCAGCTTCCTGAGTGCTGGGGTACAGGTGTGAGCCGTCACAACTGGCAAAGGATGCTTTCTCACAGGAGCAGATTTGGTTCTTTAAACCCTCCCCCTCAATATTTAGAATTTGTCCTAAAACCACTGAAGTAAAAAACGAGATAAACTCATTTTGGCAAATTTATGTATGTTAATGAAAAGCCAGAAGGTTACCTGGGGGAAGGGATTTCTGAGGTGAAGAAACTTTTTGGAGCAGTGCAAATGGTCTGTGTTTTGATCTGAGTGGCACTAACATGGGTGATCATGTATATAAAAATTCACCAAGCTGCCCACACCCGGTTTGTACACTCCATTACAGGTGAATTAGATGTCAGCAAGAGGAGAAAGGGCTTTGTCTGCTCTGCTCCCTGCTGTGTACCAAAGCCTGGGTTTGGAACAGACCTCTGCAGCCTGTAGACCCTTGCAATAAAAGCCTACTGATGATGACAGAAAATACTTCAGATAAAATCCTGAATGTAAACAAAAAAATCCCAATGTCATACAACTTTGAAGCTGTACTAGAATTCCAGCATTTAACTGGGCATGGTGAATGCCTGTAATCCCAGCATGAAGGAGGCTGAGGCAGGAGGATAACAGTGAGTTTGAGCCAGCTTGAGAGGCCTGGGATTTAGCTCAGTGGTTCTGCCACCTGCCTCGAAAGTGGAAGGTCCCAAGTTTGCTGCCCAGCACCAGAAAAAAAAAAAAAAAAAAAAAAAGACCCAGCTTGGGCTATATAGTGAGTTTAAGACCAGCTTGAGCTACATGGTGAGCCCTTGTCTCAAAAAAACCCAAAAAGCAACAAAAAACTTCTTTGATGAATATTTTCCTTCCACCCTGTCCATGATTGTTTATACAACTTCATTTGGACAGACCAACTAACACTGGTTGAGTACTTATTCTGTGCCAGGCTATACGCTAACAGAAATGCACACTTTGCATTATTTTTTTTTTTTGGTACCAGGGATTGAAATCGGGTCCCTGCGCTTGCGTAACAGGCGGCGAAATCACTGAGCTAAATCCCCGGCCCACACACTTTGCATTGATAAACTTAGTTAATTTTCACAATACTATGCAGTAGATGTTTCTCCTATGAAATGAAGTTCTCTGCAGAAGCTGTGTCTATATTGAAGCACCTGCCAAACTGACCTTGGCTGCTTAGAGCATCTCGATTATGGAGAGATGGAATGTTACCGACAAAGACCCAGTGTTATTTTGGGCTATCTTGGGTCCTTTTAGAAAAACAGCCATTTACTTTTAATCATTTTATCTATCCTAATGTTCTCCTGACTACTAGGTAAACCTCTCAGAATGTTTGTTTTGTTTTTATGTTTGGGTTTTTCTTTAAAGGAGGAAATATTTATTTATTTATTTTTATTGGTACATTTTAGATATACTTAAGGGCAACATTCATCTTAGGGAATTTGCACCTGTACATGATACATCTTGCTTCTTCTTTTCACTTCAACTGGGCTTCCCCTCCTTATTTACAAAAACTTTGTTTCCATTTTTTCCTTCTGTTCTATTATTTTCTTGTCCCTTCTTTCCTTTCCCTCTGCCCCCTCCCTTGTTCCCCTTCTCATTTGAACATTTTCTTCTCATTTCCGAATATCTATTATACGTTTTGGACTTTATTTACCCTTTCAGTTTCTCATACCAGAGAAACAATGCGGTATTTAAACATGTGTGTCTGATTTATTTCACTTAAGAGTATGGTCTCAAGGTGCATCCATTTAGCTAGAAATGTCTCAAGCTTATCCTTTTTTTTTTGGTACCAGGGATCGAACTCATGACCTTGCACTTGCGAGGCAGGCGGTAGAATCAAGCTTATCCTTTTTATGGCAGAATAGTACTCCATTGTATAAAAAAACCCACTTCTTCTTTATCCATTCATCCGTTGATGGACATTTGGGCTATTTCCGAGATTTAGCTATTACATACTGTGCCATTATAAACATGGGTGTACGTATAAAGCTGTGGTATGATGCTTTTAATTCTTTTGGGAAAATACCAAGAAGAGAAATAGTTGGGTAGAATGGAACTTCTAGTTTTGGTTCTTCTTTTTTTTTTTTTTTGGTACGAGGGATCGAACTCGGGTCCTTGTGCTTGTGCAGCAGGCGGCGAAACCACTGAGCTAAATCCCTGGCCCATCTGGTTTTAGTTCTTTGAGGAATCTCCACATTGATTTCCACAGTGGTTGCACAAGTCTACACTCCCAGTAACAGTGGAGAAGAATTCCTTTTTCCCCACAACCCTGCCAGCATTTGTTATTGGTTAATTTCTTGATAATAGGCATTCTTTCTGGAATGAGATGGAAGCAATACTCCCAAATTCATTTCTGGAAGCAAGCATTAACCTGATACCAAAATTAAGAGAAGGATCCAACCAAAAAAGAGAACTACAGGCTAATCTCCCTAATGAATATAGATGCAAAAATCCTCAATAAGATTCTGTCAAGGGCCAGGATTTGGCTCAGTGGTGTGGGCACTTGCCTTGCAAGCTCAAGGTCCTGAGTTCAATCCCCAGTACCAAAAAAAAAAAAAAGATTCTGGCAAACAGAATGCAGCAAATCATCAAGAAGATTATACACCATGACCAAGTAGGATTCATCCTAGGGATGGAGGTTCAATATATACAAATATATGGTTCAATATATACAAATCAATAAATGTAATACACTATATTAACAGAGACAAGGACAAAACCATATGACCCTCTCAATTAGTGCAGAAAAAGTGTTTGACAAAGTCCAACGGCCATTCATGATAAAAACCCTACAGAAAATTGGAACAGATGACCTTTATCTCAATCTGATAAAAGCCATCTATGACACACCAACAGCCAACATCATACTAAATGGACAAAAACCAAAATCTTTCACTCTAAAATCAGGAATAAGACAAGGATGCCCACTGTCACCACTCATTCAATATAGGTCTGGAAACATTAGCCAGAAGAATTAGACAGGAGACAGAAAGAAAAGGAGTAAGGATAGGAAAGGAAGAAATTAAATTATCATTATTTGCAGATGACATGAATCTCTACATAGAAGACCCTAAGAACTCCACCAAAAGACTTCTAGATTTAATAACTAAATTCAGTAGCATAGCTGTTTTTATGTCTTTTTGTTTTATTTATTTATTTATTTTAGTAGCAATAGTTTCTTTTTTATTTTAATATATTTTAGGAAACAATATACAAAGCTGAGCTTTCCCACCATTTCCAGATAACAGTGGGAAGCTCCAAAGACACAAATTTAGCATTTTGTGATGGCTAAGAACAGCAGTCAGCACCAGACTTGAACAGTTAGCTACAACACAAACATCTTTCAAAAATGAAACATCCTAATAGCAAGACAGGTGAACAGGGGTTTAACAAATGACAACCACTTGGGAAGTGACTTAATCATTCTTGTTGAATTTCATTTTCATTAAATATTTTATACACAATTTCCTGTTAATGTGTTTTAAACAAAATGTTCCTTTAAGAATTACTTCCATTAAGTACAAATATTCAACAAGAATAGTTCTGGTAAAGAATCCCCAGGTAGTTCAAATTCTAATGTGCACTGACCGAAGGAAAAGAAAAATAACAATTTTTTGTTTGTTTTAACATATTTATTACAACGGATACAATTCACATCTGACTAGCTTTGTTTCCTCTTCCCCCTCCCACAAGCATGTTCACTGGGCCATTTTCTTACAATTGAGAGATCTGTGTACTCTCAGCACACAGGCTCAGCAGTACTTTTAAGTCCATTCTTACAGGTTGCAAATGGATTTTCAATAATTTATACAAACAAGTGGGTTTTGCTCAATCACTGCAATTTTAAGCTACTGTACACAGGAATGAAAAGGGTATAGAAAAGTGCCATAGCAACAGTGCCTTAAGAAAGGAGGAAAAGAGGAGACTTAAAAAATGGGTAAATCAGGGCCAGGGATTTAGCTCAGTGGTTTTGCCGCCTGCTGCACAAGCGAAAGGACCCGAGTTCGATCCCTAGTACCAAAAAAAGAAAAGGATAAATCAGATCAAGGATTTAAGAGGGAAATGGAACACATTTCTCTGCAAAACAAATAGAGAAGCACTGCTCTTGATCAGGTGCAGGTGTGGAAACAGCTGTTTTGTGATATTTTGTACACTGTCCATATGGTTCAAAATCTCATCCTTAGACAGACATCAATCACCTGGCGCTTCCACTGAATTTTTGAAAATGCAAGATTTCTGAATGATAAATTAACCCCCCCCAATTTTTTTTTTTAAAAAGCTAATTTTTCAGACAGGTTTACATGTAAAAGGCTAGGTACTTAGCCACCTCAGCACCGATTAGTTTTGTGGGTTTTTTTTTTTTTTTTTGGTACCAGGGATCGAACTCGGGACTTTGTGGTTGCTCGGCAGGTGCCAGAACCACTGAGCTAAATCCCCAGCCCAGCACTGATTAGTTTTGGATGTCTAAGCTCTGTTACACATGGCTTCCCATGGCTTCACTCTACAAAACATATTTACAATGTGAAGAATACATCTACAAGAAATCTACATTTCAAGGGTTTTACAAATCAATCTGTATCTTTCCCCTGAATTGACTCTCACAGACCGTATCATCCCTTGTCATTTTCTCTGCCCAGCTTAACGGTCCAATGTCTACTTAAATGCAGCTCAAAAATGTTAAGATTGGGCAACAGATTTGTAGTTTCTGTACTCAAAACCATGTGAAATTATTCACATCTTCACACCATAAAGGAATTCTGATTTTTTAGCTTTTCAAGTTCCTTAATTTGTTGTCTCAGAAACAGTATCCTTTGCTCTCGCAAAGTTGCTTGAATTTCACATACTCGGACTAGAGATCTTAGGTTTTTTAATTCAGAACAAATTTCTGACATGTGAACGCTTCCCATGTGATGGGCTTCTTCACGCAATCTCGATGCCCGTTTCTCCGCATGGTCTGCAGGCCAGCCCTGAACGTGCTTTATGAGACTCACTCAAGTGTGCTGCCAGTGTAGGTGTTAAGGAACACGTGGGGCGGGTGATGAGTTCTGTGGGACAACTGCTGCATTTGATGCGTTACTGTTCGAAGTATGATTTGGACCAGGTGATGGGCTTCTCTGGCTACTGGAGCGCTGAAGACTTCGAGGAGAGACGGGTTCATGAACCTGCTGTTTGTCAGCAGTTATGGGCTGCTGTGTGGCCGATTGTGACACTGGTCCTTGCTTAACTACTGGAGTACTAACCTTTGGCTGTGGTGAAACAGGAAGAGTACTAATCAAAGGTTTGATAGGGACTGTGTTAGCCTGAGGTGTGCTTATCCTTGGAGACACATAAGATCTTGGGGATGAGGCATCAGATGTTAAAGACATGGGAGACTGATTTGATGGCTGGGCTTGTTTAGAGAGCTGAGCAGCTTGAGAAATTAGAGATGTGATGTTGAAAGCAGATGGTCCAGCAGTAAGAAACTTATGAATTATAGACTGCAGTGAAGCTTGTGTCACAGCTGCTGTAAGAACTTCATTTATTTTGGATATGTCCATGTTAGAATTATTGAGCTGCAGCATGGTTTGCAAAGCAGGAAGCAACTGTCTAAGAAGATTTGGGTCCTGAAGTAGTGGAGGTATTGGTGACTGTGGGACAGGAGAAACAGGGACTGCAGAAGCAGATATTGGAGGTGCAGATGTGAGATTCAGTCCAGAGGCAGAAGACGCAGAAGGAGTTGTGCAAGAATGTGATACTGATTTGTCTCCTGCTGTAGATTTTCCACTGGCAAACCCACTAGCAGCTGTTGCTTGCATCACCTCTCTTCTGTAATCCCTATCTTTTTTTTTTTTTGGTACCCAGGATTGAACTCGGGTCCTTGTGCTTGCGTGGCAGGCGGCGAAACCACTGAGCTAAATCCTCGGCCCTGTAATCCCTATCTTTTGGGAAGCTATTAACTGCCACTTTATTTGCTTCTTTTTGTCTCTGTTCTCTTTCAAGGCACTCTTTTGGTTTTTTCCACTGTGAAACTTCTGTTTGGCAATTGTAGTAATATTTTTTCCCAGAAGAGCTAATGTGCTCAGACCAGTCATCTGCAGAATCATAAGGTGCATCTGAAGTCTTGCTTGGATTATTGCTTGGATTAGAAGAGTGTGAATTTGAACTATGAAGGGCACTGTGGTTGTGTGACTTTTCTTGTGGAGAGTAACTGGTCCCACCTTCCCTCTCTCTAACTCTATAAGTATGCACATTTTTGGCCTTATTGTGACCTGTGCTGTCACTGTACTTGTTTTCAGGACTATCAGATCTCCGCAACATTTTATTTGGGAGTGAAGGATCTGCGGCGTCTCGCATCTTTTCATGTCTGTGATCACCGCTACTGGGGTGACTCTTCGATGAATACTTTAGTGCCTGGTAAGGCTGCGAGTCCCCCTCCGGTCGTGACAGCCATCACTGAGTCTCCGCTGTTTCCTCGCATACATTACCATCAATGACCGCCGCGGAGCGTGGCCAGGAGGGGGAGCGGCAGCAGCGGGAGGCGTGCAGGCGGTAGCCTTGGCCCGGAGCGCCCTCGGGCGACACCGCCCCGTTACTGGAGCCGGCACTCCCGGGCCATCTCCCTCCGTCCACACCATGCTCATGCTCGGCCGGGGCAGCGGCGCCAACTACTTTATGTCTTTTTAGACAGGGTCCTACTATGGAGTTCAGGCTGGCCTTGAACTCACTGTGATCCTCCTGCCTTATCCTCCCAGGTGCTGGGATTACAGGCGTGTGGCACCGTGTCTGGTTTAGAATGTATTAAAAGTTTAACTGACCTTGCCTTCACCCTAACCCTAAAACTAGAATGCAATAACATCTGAATCTTATAGAAGAGATCTACTGCCTGCCTGCCTGATTCTCCCACTTGTGTATTTTGTAAATGCATTGATTTGTGACTCTAAAAAGCTCACATAACCCCTTCCAGTATGGAACGTGTCTTTCAAGGTAACTTGAATCCATGTCCTTGGGGCCATGATCACTCATACTTAGTTTAGAATAAACCATTTAATTATTTTCTTTGGAGTTACTTTACGTTGACATTCCCTGGTTTAGAGATGGGGAAACTGAGGCCCAGAGAGGCAAGGGACCCTGCTCCAGGTCCCACAGTATTAAGTGGCAGACCTGGGAGGGTGGTGGCCCAGCAGCAGTCTGGTTCCAGGGGCTGCAGGTTTAACTATGTCACACTGCCATAGTGAATGTCACAATGTCACAGTGCCAAAGTGAATGTCAAAAGCTCAGATTTGGGACCTTGGTGACTATGAGGCCCGAGACAAATGGGCCTCTCTGCTCTTCTCTCCCCGTGAGTGCCAGTCCCTCCTGGGAGACGTGGGACAGTGCAGTGCCTCAAAGGAGGCAGCGAGGTGTGGGATCCAGGACCTGGAAGAGAGATGGGGCAGAGAGGTACAAGGGCCCTGTCTGCTACTAGCAAAGTTGTGTTCCCTGGGCAGGGACAGATGTTCCTGTCACCTGATCTCCCACTCCAGAAGCCTGGGCAGGGGCCCTCTCCGAGGCTGGCCCTGTCTCTGCCCCCTGTGGCTGTCACAAGGCATGAGCCAACAGGCCCGGTCCTGCTGTCCACCCATGAGAAAGGCAGCTTCCCGGAAGCTTATCCTCCCTCCGCTGCCCCAGTACACTCAGTTCCTGGAAGTTGGGGGAGCTGGGCCATGATGTCTACTGTGCGGCACCTAAGCAGGACACCTTTCCTTGGCTTTCACCTCTCCCAGGAGAGGAGAGGACAAGGGGTTGTGGCTGCTGGCAGATAGGAGCTGTCAACCTGCTGCTCACTTGCTTTGACCTGGGCAAGTTACTTGACCTCTCAGAAGGCTCAGTTTCCCCAAATATGAAATCGAGATGCTAACGTTAATTTCATATGGGACAGCCGGAGGACTGGCCGCAACAGTGTGGGAGTGCATTTGGCATTGAGGCCTGGAACCCTAAAGCACTCAAAACAGAGTAGCTATGGTGACAATTGTCCTGCCACCCTAATTCTCTGTGGGCCCTCTGGGCGATGGCATTCACATGTCTTGGCTATGGCAGAGGTGGGAGGGGCGCCCTTCTTATCAGTACAGACAAACCGGCTGCATGCCAGCTTCAGGATTCCGTAGACCTAGACCGGCACCGAGAAGGGGAGGGTGGGCTAAGCATGTGGCCGTGGCCGGGCAAGAGGAAGAGCCACCGAGCTCCCTCTGGGAGGGGAGGTAGCAATCCTTCCTGGCCTAGCAGGCAGTGCTTGGTTCCTTCTTGCCAGACACCCTCTACCTGCAATCCAGGCCTGGGAAGGTGTGAAATTCCTGTATGAAGTCAGGCTCCAGGCAGGCTCTTCTTCATTCCGAAAGGCACAGCTCTGTGCTTCCAGGGATTCATCACCCAAGAAAGCAGGCCACCTGGAAGAACCAAATCCATCCATGGAACTGTGGCCTGACAGAGTTAGAAGGGGCTTAGAAAGCCCATGATGGTTTGAAGCCCAGCCTGTGGACTTGGATACCACCTGCACTCTCCAGCCTCAGTTTCTCTGGGAACAATGGGCTTGAGCACTCTCACATCATATGAATGTTTTCCTTTGGCCGTTGACAGAGCAAATGGAATCATGTATATAAAGCACAGGAATTAGTAGTGTGGAATGAGTGTCTAGTAAGTAATGGATGCTTGTAATCCATCCTCTCTTTCCACATGTGAGCGGTGGCAGAACTCAAGGAACAAAACTTTCCAGGAATTTCCCACCCCTCCACATGAGGTAATCAACACTAGACAATGCTTCTTTAGTTTGGAGGTGTCAGGGATTGAACCCAGGTCTCACACATGGTAGGCAAGTACTCTACCACTGAGCCATAGCCCTAGCCCTTTTTAAAAATTTGAGACAAAGTCTTGTCAAATTGCCCAGGCTGGCCTCAAACCTTTTTTTTTTCTTGTTTTTTTTTTTTTTTTTTTGGTACCGAGGATCAAACTTGGGTCCTTACACTTGCAAGACAGGCAGCAGAACCACTGAGCTACATCCCCAGCCCTGGCCTCAAACTTTTGATCTTTCTGCCTCAGCCTCTCAAGTAGCTGGGATTATAGGCATGTGCCACTGCACCTAGCTGCTTGTTTTCTTATATTGATTTTTAAAATTAATAGCCTTTATTTTTTACTAATTATTACTTTTTTTTTTCTTTTTTCGTGTAGGGGATCGAACTCGGGACCTTGTGCTTGCGAGGCCGGCGCTGGAACCACTGAGCTAAATCCCCGGGCCCTCATTTTTACTTTTAACTAGCATTGAACAGCATCATGAAAAGCACATCTTGTGTGCATCATCTTGAATTCACATAGTTTGCATGACATAAGCAATTATCATTCTGCTTTACATGGAGAAAAACAAGCCCTAGAGAGAAAAAATTTGTCCAAAGACTCCTGGTAAGAACACATGGGTATCAAGGAGTTCTGGGTTTCTGTGGTTGCATCACAAGCCATTGCTGTGCCATAAACTGTTTTGTTCACAAATTCTCCATGAAGCAGGCCTTCATGGGGAAGCCTCATGGGTTCGTCTCTAGTCCTCTTGGTATTAGCCGGGCAGCTTGGTGGCCAAGGTCTGGAGTCACCTCAGAGCTCCTTCCTTCTTGTGACCAGCAGGTGATGTTGCTGTTGCCTGGAACCCCCTGGAGTTATCAGCTGGGACATCTCCATGTGGCCTCTGTGTGTGACCACCAGGCTGGTGCTTAGATGGTTTGCATTGCTGTCCGCATCCTCCAGTCTTCTTCTTCTTCTTCTTTTTTCTTTTTTGGTACCAGGGATCGAACTCGGATCCTTGTGCTTGCAAGGCAGGAGGTGGAACCACTGAGCAAAATCCGCGGCCCCTTCAGTCTTCTTTTGTTTGTTGATGTATGTTTCACTGTCGGGAGCATTTCTACATAAATTTTTGGGAAAAATCATTTCATAATTAAAGTATGACTATAGCTGTCTGAAGCTCAATGCCCCTTGCCCCTGAGCCGGCTGTGGCATGCGGAAACAACTCCGTTTTGCCTCCCGTCACAGGTGAGGCCTCGATGGTTCTGTGACACTGTGGTGCTCAATGGCAAGATAACAGCAATTGAAGACAGCCTGGTTCTTTGTTTCTTTCTTTTTTTTTTTTTTTTGGTACCAGGGATCGAACTCTGGATCTTGCGCTTGCAAGGCAGGCGCTGGAAAGCCTGGTTCTTTGAGAACCCAGTAGTAAAACAAAAGAGAAAGGTCCACCTGGGGAGGGACTAATTCCTTGTCAAACTTAAGTCATCCTACCCACTATTGTGAGAATGTTCTCCTTCCAGTCCTCCTCAAAGAACCTCTTCATCAGCTCCTCATTGTCCTAGGATCACCGCTGCCCCCTAGTCTAGGTCACCTGATGATTCCCCCAGTTATTGTGTGCACCCAATAAATGATGGCTAGCTCAGAGAGTCTTTGTCCTTGCCCACTCTGAGGCACTGACCTCCTATATACTTTGAAATTACACAAGTCTCTATTGTCTTTTTTCTCTTTAGCCCTTGCTGTCACCCTTTCTAGGTAGTTGGAGGATTGAGTACCCTCTGATATTCACATACAATGTTTTGTGATAATGTCCAGGTGTTTAGTGGTACCTATTCCATGGCCTATTTTAGGGAACAATCAGACTGTATTGAGATCATTGTTCCTACTACCAGGGAGTGAGGTTCTTTCTTTCTTTCTTTTTTTTTTGAGACAGGGTCTCACTATGCAGTTCAGGCTGTCCTTGAACTCACTATGTAGCTCAGGCTGGCCTTGAATTTGCCGAAATCCTCCCAAGTGCTGGGATTATAGGCACCACCAGGCCTGGTGAGCTTCTTAAGGGCAGAGGTCAAGTGTCTTTGGATTCCCTGTGGCTGGGACAGTTCTGGAGGCTGGGAAGTCCACTATCAAGACATTGGCATCTAGGGCCAGGGATTTAGCTCAGTGGTTCTGACACCTGCCTCACAAGCACAAGGTCCCGAGTTCAATCCCTGGTACCAAAAAAAAAAAGATATCAGCATCTGATGAGGGCCTTCTTGCTGTGTCATCCCATGCTGAAGGTGAGAGAATAAGATAGCCAGAGCAATAGCCTGTGTGTGTCCGCCTGTAAGTATGTGTGGTACTGGAGAGTGAACCCAGAGCTGTATCCTCAGCCCCTTTTTTATTTTTTATTTTGAGACAGGGTCTTGCTAAGTCACTAAATTGCCCAGGCTGGGACAACAGGCTTGTGCCACCATGCCTTGTTTGCCATAACATTTTTTTTTTTTTTAACCAGGGATGGAACTCCGGACCTTGTGCTTGTGAGGCAGGTGGCAGAAACACTGAGCTAAATCCCCAACCCATGCAATAACATTTTTTTTTTTTTTTTGCACTGGGGATCGAACTCAGGACCTTGTGCTTGCAAGGCAGCGCCGCAACCACTGAGCTAAATCCCCGACCCATGCAATAACATTTTTTAAAAGAATAGTTTTAGGTTCATGGCGACACTTGTTGCCAGAACACTTGCAGCGCCTCCCTCATTATTGACATCCCACAGTGGGTTAAAATTGGTGAGTCTACATTGACCCATCATTATCCCCCAAACCCAAGTGTACATTAGCACTCACTCTTGGTATACATTCGTTGGGTTTGAACAAATGTGTCCACTTTGAAGGTGTCCTATACAATAGTTTCACTGCTCTAACAATCCTCTATGCTCTGCCTAGTCTTCCCTTCCTCTCCCTGGAAGCCACTAATCTTTTTACTGTCTCCATAGTTTTCCTTTCTGCAGAATCATACAGTATGTAGCCTTTTCAAATTGGCTTCTCTCACTTAATACTATATGCTTAAAACTCTTCCACGTCTTTTCATGGCTTGTAGCTCATTTTGTTTCAGCGCTGAACAGCAAACCATTGTCTGAATGAATCAGAGTTTGTCTGTTCTACAGCTGAAGGGTGTCTTAGTTGCTTCCAAGTTTTGGCACTTAGGACAAATGCTACTAGAAAGATTCCTGTGTGGGTTTTTGTGAGCATCTTTCCATATGCTTATTTGCCACCTATATATCCTGTTTGGTGAGGTGTCTGTTCAGATCTTTTGCCCAGGTTTTAATTGAATTGTTCATTTCTTTATTGTTAAATTTTAAGAGTTCTTGGTATAGTCGGGTCCTTTATTGGATACATCTTTTTTTTTTTTTGGTGCCGGTTATTGAACTCGGGATCTTGTGCTTGCGAGGCAGGCAGCGGCACCACTGAGCTAAATCCCCAGCCCTGGGATACATCTTTTGCAAATATTTTCACCCAGTCTGTCTTGTCATGATCTTGATTGATTTTTATTAATGGTTCAAATGTCTCTCTCTCTAGCTCTCTCTCTCTCTAAACAAAATAAGCATTCTCTTAAACATTCGTTACATGAAAAGCTGTCTTTGTTTTGTTTTGGTACCGGGGATCAAACTCAGGTCCTTGCAGCGAAACCACTGAGCTAAATCCCCTGCCATATGAAAAGCTGTCTTAACCTCACCAGCGCGCTTGTCTTCTGGCAGGTGTAGCTGGCAGTGTGGGATCCTCTGTGTGCCCAGAGAGGGCTTGGGCTTGCACAGTGTCCTCACCTAAATGATGCGTCCATCTGACGTGCAAAGCCTTCATGGTATCCGGAGAACTGGCTGTTTTGGTTTGTGTGAGACTCCTGGAATGTTTATTCTCTCTCCCTCTCCCCTCCCCTCCCCCTCCCCCTCTGTTGTTTTCTCTCTTCTGAGTTCCCCCTACTTTTCCATCTGCCTACTGGCTGACCTCCCAGAGTGGTCAACAGAAAGACATGTGCTTTTCCCAAACAGGCCTTTCTCCCATTCCCTTCTGGGTCTTTGCACTCAGCCCTCATTGTTTCCTACCCCTTCTCTTCTTGCTGACCCTTCTATGCCCCCTTCCTGGACTGGAGGCAGCCAGGGGCTGTGGGGCGACAGGACCATTCACAGCAGGCCTTTGGAGGGGCTCAGACGGAGGTTTGGATCCCGGCTCTGCGGTTCAGTTACTGTCATGGGAATGGGTGTAGCTCCCGATAGAGAGGTAGTCATGCCTTGTGGGTGGCTGGAGAGTCAAAAGGGGTGATGACGTAAGTGACAGAGCTGGCACACAGTAGGTATTTGATATATGACAGCACAATATTTTCAGGGACTGTCTTCTTGTCTTCATAGCTTGGCTGTTTATATTTGTGAAGCAGAGAGATGGGTAGAGTTCTGGAGTAACCACCAGCTCCTTAAGTAGCTCTCTGAAGGAACACAAATCCTCCAACTATCCCTGTTTTGAAGACTTTTAAACAGAGAGCTTAACTTATAACAATCTTGCTCATTAACCGAGAGTTTACTACATGCTAGGCTCCACGCTAAGCACTTCCTGTATGTTTTCATCTCTTCTCATGACCAGCCTGTGGAGGATGTTCCATTATTATCCCCATTTTATAGTTCAGAAAACCAAGGCCCAGAAAAGTGAATTGACTGGGTTCAAGGCACACAGCTAGTTAAGGGATGAAACTGAGACAAGAGTCCACATTTTTCTGGCACCCCAAGCCTGTGTGACCAATCACAGACCACGCCACGTCCAGCTAACCTGGCACAGGCAGGGAGAGACAACTGGTTTCATTTCCAGTATGACTGGAACCCCTGAGAGCTGAGTAGGCTTCTCAGGTGTTAGACAGGACACTGAGCCAGGCCCCAAACCTGCCCAGGCAGAGAATGTGGGAGGTCTGAGACTTTGGGGTGGCCCAGACCCTCCTTGGAGCTGGAGGCCTCCCCGGAGCAACAGGACCATAAACACCAGCCGCGCTTTCAATACCACACGGAGTCTGAGTCAGGAAGTATTTATAGCCGGCCTGCTCTCCTCTCCTCCTGCTCTGCCAGAACTTATCCGGTTCACTTGGGGCTCGGAGGGTGACAACCTGTTTATCATCCAAGGTGCCCAAGCACACTGTTGAGACACCCTCCAAGAATGAGCTTTGGAGGCCGGCCCACGTTCAGGCCTGACCTGACCTCTGCCCCACCCTGATGCAGTCAACTGTCTCTGTCCCCGTTGCCTCAGCTTCTCTGGCACGCCCAGTAGCCCCCCCCACCCCCGTCTTTGTTAAACAAGACACAGTGCTGCTTTTTCCAGGAAGCCACCCTGGCTTGTTCTGGGAGAGTTACAAACTTTTCCTGGCCCCACTGCTCTTAGTGAATGAAACGTCTCATCCGACAGATAATTAAATCAATCTTAATAATTGCAAGGGCTTTCTATGTGCCAGACACTATGCTAAGAGTTTGAATATTATCCCCCCACCCCTTTTGGTACTGGGGATGGAATTCGGGTCCTTGAGCTTGTGAGGCAGGCATCGGAACCATTGAGCTAAATCCCCGGCCGCATTACCCTTTTTAATACAATAATTTTATAAGTTGGATATTAATTTAATATCATCTGTAGAGATGAGGAAATTGAAATTCAGTGAGGTTAAATAACTTGTCCAAGACTACAAAGGTACCAGGGCCAAGTTCAAAAGCTGAGTCTCCCTGGGTTCCAGAGTTCAAGTTGTAGGTGAGCTAGGGCAGGTTACTGCCCCTTGAGCATCAGTTTCTTTACCTGTAAAATGGAGACACTGCTACCTACCTCTCCCAGGTGTAAGGACTGAGTAAACCTGGCACACAGGAAGGTCCCAGCCAGTAACTGCTGTCCCCCACCCCTTTGACAATCAGTGGTTTGTTCCAAGCTACTTAGAATAATCTACGGCATCTGGCTTGAACTTCTAGGACTTGAACCCAGGAGCCTAGCTGTTCCAGGGCCCACTGCCCCCTGTCCTCACTCTTTGCTACTCTCCAGTATCCAGGCTGAAGTCCCGACAGACTCAGAACCCAGGGGCTGGGGTGCGTAGCTGAGGAAGGAGGGGGGGTGAGGAGGAGCATGAGCTGGGGGGGGGGTGCATCATGCAGAGG